TACACAGACACACACACACACACACTCACGCATACATACGACAGAATTATTTTTATAAAAACATTATGCGGGCAAATTAATAACTTTTTTTATTCATATATTTTTTTTAAATCGATCACTTCGAAACCTTTATCAGAAACACATGCCCCAAAATCAGAGGCCGTCAACCGAAAATTTCAGTTTTAGAACGAATAGACAAAAGTAATTCGATATTTTTGCACGAAATTAGGGAATATTGTAAAATTGTATTTTTCTTAGAGCCATCGGAGCATGTGCTTGCGGTTTTGGATTACGTTCCAAATTCAAAAAATAATAATTTTTTTTCATCACCATTTCTCATAAAATACGAACAATAGTTCGGAGAAAGGGTCAATGGGATTTTTTTTATATATTTTCAACTAAAAAAATATTGCTCCTTTGTGAAATGAATGGGTACCGATGACCCTTTAACAATGAATCAATTTGTGGTTTTATTCGTGACCTTTGCTATTAAAAAGGTTACAATATAAATTTAATTAATATTAAACCCTTTTACGACACCTTTCTTAAACTACATATAGAGTTTTTATGTGAAAACAATTCAATTTTATTTTCACACCAATTTCACGTCCTCATTGTACGAGCAAACAGCTAATACAATAATATGTAGTACATGATAAATAATTTAAAACAACATTGAGATGTCACCTGCATAATATAACATTTGTAGCAGCACATCTAATTGAAACCCATTTAGAATTAAAACTAAAGCGACCGGACACAGCTGGCGCGCTTCTAGACGCTATTTACTTTAGTTCTGTCTTGTTAGTCATTCATACATTACTAACGTTCCACCAGACAAATGAACTCCCGCCGAAATGAAACACATTCTAATTGAGACCTTAATGTGATGGATTAGGAACTATATTATAATAAACGTCTGGTTCAATAAGTTTGTAAAAAGAAATGAGATAAACATGCCGGAGTGAGACGTCAATCAGCTGTCAACGACTTTCCGCTACGCCATGCTCTCCTAGTACCGCGTTTCAACATGTACTGGGATTTAGCCCGAAATATATACATAAAATATACATATATACATACCCATTACCTAGTATTAAGTAAGTAATGAAAAGAGGTTTTATATTACATTAATTAAAAAAAAATTTAGCACTAGCTTTTGTTCGCGACTCCTTCTAAGTGAAGTTTTGTGTAGTTTTGGGATCGGAGGAGGTATTTATATTTTCTAAGTTGATTACATATTTGAATTGTGGCTAGGTATTACAATAATATGGTGAGCCATTTAACCGCTTTAATTTCGGGATCGGAATTCGGGACTTGGATAAAGGTTAGCCAATTTTGTTCTCCAGAGTTCAATCTATCTCTATATCAAAATTCATCAAAATCAGTTCAGCGGTTTAGACATAAAAACGGAATAGACCGACTTATAGATATACAGACAGACAGAGTTACTTTCGCATAACATTAGATGTAAAACACATACAACCTTTACTTTGGAAAAACGCTCATAAAATGAAAAAATCACAATATTAAATAACCTAGATCTAATAAAAAAGAGATCTATTAAAATAAACCTTCAACACCAATTTAAACTTATTTTCGTTTCGAGTTAAATATTCCCCAATAATAAAATGGATAAACGAGTATTTAAAAATATTTCAGAATCAATAAAACAATTGTTTTATATACATATAATGGAGTAAAGTCTCGGTTCACTCCTAGTATGTGACACATAAATCCTTGTGTATGCAGTCGATACGCCGCGGTTCACCGCACCTAGTACGTCCCACGAATATCTATCGCTTTCTAGATCTACTTATTAAACATATTGTGAAATAACTAATACATATAAAATGAGAATTAAATTAATGTTCTTGATGAATTGTATATAAGTAATACTCTTATTAATCATATTTTTAAGGGAATTTGATAAGAAGTTTCATGTCCTTAGGTGGTTTTTATCTTTACTTAAGGGCATTGCAACATAAATTATTTGAGAAAAACTAAAATAATTGGTACAGAAAAAGTTCTTGTATATCAAAAAAGGGTTTATAAACATAATTTATTTTATCAAAAACATTTTTTAGTTAAAAAAATACAATTTAAAGCGTTATAAATCTTTAATATTTTTAAGGTCAAACGAAGAATTGAAATCTACTCAAAGTCAACCCTTTTTCTTGAGAAAATATATTTTTTTGGTAAAAAATCATAAATCCGCTAGGGGTCACAAATTAACCCCATTGTTGTTGAGGTCATGTTGGTTCTCAGAGGGTGACCTTTATATAATGATCTATTATTAAATGGACCTTACCAAAAAATATATAAAAACGATAAGAAATATAAAAATTAAGAAATAAATCTTGTTCTACAATTTATTTAATTTTATGTGAAAACGTAAAAATATTTCATTGAAAGCTAACTTAAAAATATATTTTTTTCTATATTTTCAATTTTTTATTAAAATATAACTTATTTAATCAATATGAATTTATATAAAAGTTTTGTTAAATCTTATAATCAGACTCCTGTATTATTTTAGTCTTTTAATTAAAAAGATAAATTCTATTTTTCATAATATTAAGTTACTATTAAACATACGAAAAGCATGCTAACTAGAGCTGTAGTTATATGTATAAGTAACATATATTGACATAATTAATCCTAATTTTAATTCAAAAATTCAGATATTTGTTTTTCTTTTATTTGTTACATAGTTTAACAATTAATGATCACTTAATAAATTACAATATTTTGATAAAAACAGATGTAAATCGATACATATTTCATTATTTGAAACATTTTCACACAAATGTTGATTGACTAAAATACAGTTAGTTAATTGAGAAGAATAAGTAAGTAATTTTATATTTGAAGTAATCGCAATTAAAACAGTGATTAAAGTTTTATATAAATATAAGTGAAATTTCTGTATATTTTTTTTTCATTTATCTTAAATACAGTAATTAGAGATAATAAAAGTTTATGGGTCTTAATAGTTTTGTCTATAACACACACATACAAACACTTACACACACACAAGTATATCAGAGATATAATACAGTAAACATCGCACACAGATGAACAAACACAGCTTGAGGTCTCAATAGAACACAACTATACACTCAGACACACACATATACTATATGTTCTAAATTTAAATTACATATATTTTTTTATTTTAATAACACTACTGTATAGTTCTTTCTAGGAAGCAATTAATATGTAGTGTAGATTCATGGAAAATAATTCATTAGGATTAAATATTCTCTTAAGACGCTACATTTTAAAAATTTTGTTTATTCATTGACTAAATTCCGAAATAAAGTGAAAATTTTCATATAAAAATCGCCAATGATTGTTCTGTTATTGAAGAACAAACGAAATAATTCCAAATAAATGGATTACCATTTTAATATTTGGCATAATAATATTATCAGTTGACAATACATCGGCAGAATATTTTAAATTCAGTCAACGTATAACCAACCTAATTATAAGAACTGTAAATAGTATTGTAATTGTATAAATCTAGAGTATCCATCAGGTGACGCCAGACCGGCGCCTCTTGTTTGCGGACCACTCCCGCACAGCCTGCTACTTTGCTCCGAGTCAACATTGTTTTGGCGAAAAAAGTTAGTCCAAATAATATAAGAATTCCTTACATTATTTCTATGAACAATTCCAAAGCTACTATATTGGCTGTATAAATCGGATCTTTGCTCGGTTTATTTTTTTAAAAAACCAAGCACATTATGTTTAAAGGTAGTGGCGTTCGCAAGAGGAAATAAAAAAAAAAAAAAAAAATTTTTAAAAATCGAATAAATTCAAAAAGTAAAAATAAACCCGTTACAGGGTAACGTTAATGGATGATCATAATGATGCCCCAAAAGAGACATCGCAGCTATAATAGTGTTTGTTCTATTAAAAGGGGCAATGGAATAAACAGACCCTCCCCGTTGTTTGTACGGCATTCGACCGGGAATCGATTCACAAACCGATCGAACACGATTATTACATCGATATAAATCATTCGATTCTTTATTTTTATATCGTTCTAGGTTATATAATCTGTTTAGATTGTTCTTTGTAACTTCCTTTGACATTGGAAACTAACTATATAGTTAGTGTTCTTTTGAGTATATTTTTTGTTTTTGCTTTAAAACATCGTTTAGGAATTTATTTGCATTTTTTTACCGGCTAAAAACTTTTTTATGTAAGTAACAATTTTACAAGTACATTTCATATATGTGTACATAAGTACATTTCATATATTTGTCAGAGAGGATTAAATTAAAGTAAAAGAAATTATTAATAAATTAAAATTATAATTTAAAATTACAGTTCAATTAAAAATTTGGCTGGAAATTGCTTGAGCGTTTAATTAAAATAACAGAAGTTTATGGTGAGAAAGAAAAAAGTAAGTAAAGTAAGTAAATAAATAAATAAAGATTTTTCTTAAATAGTATTTTTTTCTTAGTATAATATTTGCTACCAGGGCAACATAAGTAACGAGCACGTCAAATTATGATATTACCTTAACAAGGGGGAATCCGATTTCGAATAATTACTTCCATTAGCGGCGCGTGGCTGGTTGATTATAGTTTTTTTCTACCATTTTATAAAATTCTATGAGAATAAATAAAACTTTTAATTAAATTTAATTTATAATAAAATTTAATTTAATTAATTATATATTTTAATTACATGATTATATTAGGATATCATAAACCAGAAACAGTCATATCATATTCACAATCGATGTATAGCATGCAATGAAATGCAATCGTTATGACCTTAAAAATAAGTTTTATAATTGAACGATAATCAATACTGTAGATAGATACAGCATGTTCTGATTAAATACAAAACCACAGGATCACTGAGTCGATACGATTGTAAGAGAATAAAAACATGGACTTAATGTGTGGGAATTGGAAGATTTATTAATTATCGGATGAACTTGATATATATTGTAACAGGAATTGTGTTTTCATACTAACCGCGAGCGAAACCGCGGGGAGGGCATAGTATGTGAGAAACTCGACACCCGCGGTCGAGGGCTGGCTGGTCCTCGAAGTTTCCGGCTTGGACATCAATGGAACCATCGCCACTGTTTGAACACTTCAAGAGTTCAGATTGCGACCTAATAGTCGTATATACAAACAACATTCATTCACATAGCATATAGCCTATAGGTACCTAACTTTAATAAAAAAAGAAATATATTCAATACACATTTTTTCCACTTTTTCCGGCTCAGTCCGCGATACCTTCGATGATTAAAAAAAAACGTAAAAAAAGAACAAAGTAAAATTTTTAGCCGAAAAAAAATTCCACGAGAGCGGAAGCGTACGAAAATACACATAAAAACGCAGCCTGTATATCAAATTACCGTGCATCTGGTTTTAGTGGAAATTGGAGCAGTTTAAATGAGTGTTTTATTTTAATCACCTTGCTTGTTATGGGCTCCTGGTACAAAATTGTTGTTATATATTTTATATAAATTAAATTACATAATATATTTTATAAATAAATAATAATTAATTAATAATAATGTGTTTTTTTCCTTAGGTGACGTTTTCTATATATTTTTTTTCATCTCAATAGAATTCATTTCGAAAATCATCTTCAAAAGTAGATTTTATGATAGAATGGAAACTCTTTTGTAATATTCATTAATATCTTTAATATATATACATATAGTATATAAATAATTATTGCCTCTATATATCTGTTTTGTTTTATTAAAAAGAAAATAAAACCTCTCTATTTTCAGTGATGTACATACATTATCTGTTAGATGAATTCCATTAAAATTATCCCGAAAAGCACGCGACCTCATTACTATTGACAGGAGATTTGCCGCGTAATTACTAAATTACATAAACTTATAATATTAAATCTATACAATGTACAGGCGACTTACGACTTTAATTAAAGCAGATAGGGTATGTAATTGTATAATATATAATACATATAAAATGGCGGATGATTGTTTGGCGTTAACAAAAGAGGCGTGTGAGACACGCGTCGGTATAGATGATAGACCGTAATTAATGGGAAAACACACCATAAGGATGATAGGGGGTTCAACATTGACAGAGGATTGTATGGGATTGTATATATTCACCTCAGTATGACAAAATTTAAAAGTGGATAACCTTTGTATGTGAAAGAACACATATGCCTTTTAGGTTTCATAGCCATAAGTTGTTTTATACACTTTCTACATATACGTAGTATTTATTTTTTGTCAATAATATTTAATTGGTAATTTAGTCAAATATTGTTCATAATAGGTATTAAGAAAATAAAAAGGTGCATTTTAATATAAGTACACAAATTGTGCATTCAATATCCGTATATAGAGAATATTTTGAAAGAAAACTGAAAGAGATGATATTATTAAACCAAAAACCACTTTCTAATAAGTATGAAATGACTGTAGATGTATAAACAGGATTTACATCACAATGTCACCAAAATAAGGTTTTTCTGTTTGAGTGTTCATTCCAAATAACCTCTGAACTAACTGAATTTATTCGGAAAAGACACTAGGCTATAGATGATGTAACTAAAAGTAATGTTCTTCATTTTTATTCTTATAAAGAAGAAAAACCACCGACTTTTCTACGCGGACATAGTCAAGGCAGTAACATGTAGATAATATACTTAAAAATTAGAAAAATTGTTAGTGTACATATCCAATGTTCTAAAACTGAAAACGTCATAATATTTTTTTTCACTTTTTATCCATATTGAGTACTTACAGATTAAACAAAATTTTCATAATAAAATCATTTAAAGTTAAATTTTCTTAAAATATATTTATTTTCTGTCAATTTCGTATCTTTTTTAAACAATTCCTTCAACAAACAACACATTAAACGCTCATTAAGACTGTTCTTTATATATATTTATGTTTGACTTACTGTCCGTTCATTTAAGTATATTTGCGTGTATTGTATTCAAATATATTTAAATGTATGTTTGCATACTAAATGAAGCGGAAGATTTTTTTGATCATAAAAGTAAGTATACACAGGATTTAAACATATAGGTTACTACTTATTGTTATATGAAAAAATATTAATAAATATAAAAGATTAATTTAGTTTTATATGGTTTAAGAGACGAAACTTCTCATCATTCAATGTATTCACGGTGCGTGTGTCGGGTCCATCGTTGTTGTAGAGAGGAGCTTCAACAGTGACTGGGACTTGTGACCCAGGAGTAGGTTTAAGGGACCCTATCTAACGCGCGTTAAACGCTGCCCTCCACTGTCCAAGCTCATCTCTACCTAACGAAATTTTAAAAGAACATACATATATACATATATATATATATAATCTTTTCGGTCACGTATTTGAAGTTACAGTTATACAAATAAGTGACTACTCGAATACAAAGCCATGTACAAACATACGGAGCGACTCATATAAACAATCGTATACTTAACAGAACAAAATAATGGACACTAAAATGCTGCTGCGATTAAAGATATATATATAATAAATAATAATATGAAAAAGTTACATAGAATTTTATGAATATAGAACTCAAAGAAAAAAAAACTTGCGTGAAATAAATAAAAATCACCCTTATTTAGTCCAACTTAAAGTGCTCAGTTAAAAAGCAAGAGTTATTATTAATAAGAATATTATTAAAAAAATAAATTATAATATAAATTCAAATATTTTAAATACATTTTTAGATTCCCGTTCAATAAAACGGTACGGAAAAACAAAGTCGATGTCAATATTGACGGAGGCGAGCCGAGCAAACACGGGGGCAAACAGATTATACTGGAGGTTGTGGTAATTGTAATACCGGGACAATGAGAGAATATAAAGATATATATTAAACTTGTATTAGCACGCGACTTGGTCTGCGATAGTTTGAGAAATAGAAATGTATGGCTGATCGAGCGAACTCTATTCCTTTTTAAATACAGTAGGTAAGATTTTGGATCTTATCAACTTATTTTTTTATCTTTTTTGAATCTTATGTCCTTTCTCTTGTTCTAAGCTTTCTCAACGCCAATTTTCAGTCAAATCCGTACATTCGATCTTGAGTAATAAATAGTGTAACTAACACGCCTTTTTATATATAAAGATGTATTCATATAATTATGTTCTTAAAATATATGTACTCGTATATGTTTAGATATATAAGCATTGGTGACACCAGTAGTGACTTATATCAGTAAGTTCTATAACACCTTCAAATAAAACTTCAATTCTTCATGTCCTTGTATTTTTAGAAGGTTCTATATTCTTTAACGGTCCGCACCCATTCAAACTCAAACTCAAACTCAAACAACTTTATTCAATATAGAAGCATTACACTTTCTTATTGATGGTCACTTGAGACACTACCACCGGTTCGGAAAACAAAATACTTTAACCTGAGAAGAACCGGCGAAAGAAACTCAGCGGGTTAAATTTTAACTGTATAAAGCCTTAGTCTATTCGTTTTACTTTTAACAATAATTATGTATATCAATATTTTTTTATAATTATTGATGGCAGCCTTAACTTATTGCTATGTTGAATCATCATTGCTAATAGCGATATATATATACAATGAAAAGTTTACGATAATTCTATATGCTTACCACGTGTTTTTACTATCACACGATTTACTGAGCGTTCACCGTTTTTCATTCATAATCTTGTCACATATTAACGTAGGTTATTGAGTGAAAAACGAAGAACGCGTCGTATGTAGTGTAACGAGTGATTCTGTTAAACTTATGGTAAACATACTCAAATCCTTACTAATATAAACCAGTTTTTATTGATGAAATTTTTCATACATAATTATCTTTTGGCTTTTAAATTTTAATAATATTAATCATCATTGATTCTTTCAGTCATCATTCAGTTATAAAAATGGTTTTAATTCAGACGATACCAACAACAGTACTTTATCTATTTCGTAACAATTAACTCAGATAAATTGTAATTTTTACTTAATTAGACTACAATATTATTATAAGCAATATTTTTATTAAGATTAGAAAAGTAATTTTTATAAATTAAATACATATCTAAAATAATCATTTCAGTTGTAGCTATCTTAATTTATATTTAATATTTTTTCTTTTTTCGCATAACAGTAAGAGGCAAAAGTCTTATTAGTACATACCTACAAAAGAAAAATTGTTAAAAAAGCATTAAATCCCAAACAATAGGTCCTTTTAAAAAATGTTAGTAATTTCAAAATACTTTTTAACTGACTCGTTGTCTAGAAGTTTGAGTCTAGAACTTGGAAAAAACAATAATACCTTCAACATAATCTTTTAAAAAATGCACTTGAAAAAATTATTTGATAATACAATAGAATATCTTTTTTTTTTTTTTTTTGTTATCGCGGTGAAAGGTTTTATACCTTCCCCTCCGTCTAGGGGAGACAGAGGCGGTTATGTGGGATTCACGGCCAGAAGGGCCCATGTTACCCACTAAAACACCAGCGGTCACTCTCCGTTGCCGCCAAGTGGATCGCCACGGGAAACGCCGAAGCATGCATCCGCGACGATCCGGCGGCGGGCCGCGAACGGCCACCTCCCCCCCCGAGGGCTCACTCCAAGTGACCAGGAGTGTCCCCCCGCCTGGCGGGCTTGCTTAATCGCGAGAGGGTTAACCCCTTACCCCTCCCACCCAAGCCCACGCGGCCAGTCTCCAACCACCCACCGACGAGCGCAAGCGCCCGACGGCAGACAGAGAGGAAACCGACCGACCACAAGCGAACTCAGGCCTCCGGAGAGACCCGAGTATCCCCTCCCCCCCAAGACAGCCACGGACGGCCTCCTGCCAGATCCGTGACCGTCTTACTCCCAGGGCTGTACCCCCAGCCCTCCCCCCCGTGACTGATTGCACCGGAATACACCAGTGGGCGATGGGGTCGTCACGTCCCGACGCCGGACTGCGCCGACAATGGCCGAGGCCACCCGCCAACACGTAGGGCAGAACTTGGCAGCGGCGGTGTACACCGCCGAGCCTCGTCCTACCCACCTCCATGGGCTGCACCCCCAGCCCTGGCCAAGACCCCACGAGGAGGTCAAGGCCCTTCCTCCCCGTGACTAATTGCACCGGAATACACCGGTGGGCGATGGGGTCGTCACGTCCCGACGCCGGGAATACAATAGAATATCTAGAATATCAGTCAGCAGGCGGCCGGTCATAAAAACAATTAGCCAAAACTATTCACAACATGTAAGGCAGACCCTGGGTAAAGCTTTGAAATTGCCAGGTAGAAGACAATACAATATCTAGGTGTAATCTCAAAAAACAGGAGAAATGTTTCTATTTATATATATTCAATATAAATTCTAATATGTTAAACTAATATTTTTATTTCATGTATTATATGTAACATACATACATACACATCTCACAGTCAGTATTGTATTACTGAAAACTAACACCGGCGTGACGGACACGCTCTCCTACATATTATATACACATACATATATACAAACGACAATGATTCAAAATACATCAACTGACAATAAAATGAAAGCCTCATACGATATAAACTTACTTTCAAGCTTCGCAGCGTTTAAAAGTATTTTACTTTCCCCCAAGCGAGTTTGTAAACAGGAAGCCTTAGAATAAAAAAAAAACAGTCTTAACTTTTTAAAGTTATAAAGACAAAGCCACTAATTTGTGAGGCTTCAACCCTTGTAGGAAAACAATTGTAAATGTATACCGACAGTGAAACCTCATAGGAAGCTCTTCCCCCATTTTTGTGGGGTAAATTAAGAGCTTAAAACCTCCTTTTTTGGGGTTCCTTCATATATATTTTTTTAATTTTCACAAATAAAACAAAACATAAATATTTTCTAACGTATAAAAAATGTCACCCATATAAGTTTACAGTGAATGTGATCGTATTACAAATTACGTACTTACGGACAATTACGAGATAAACACACAATGGGACATACAATGGCGGCCATCCGTGTGCTCTTGACTGAGTAAAAGTGTTCTAGGTCGGTTTGAAAAAAAATCACAATCACATCATCATTTTCAATACATACCAAAACAATCTTTATCATAATGATATAGAGGTGACAATTGCATGCATTATTTGTTATCTCAAATATCTCGTCTGTAATGTAAAAAATATAAATCTGGAATATATCATTTTAAATACATCTCCACTCGTCCGTTACAATCAATAATTGCGCAACACAATATGGCGATAGTTATTTGGCGCCAAATTTACGTCGGTGATTTGACCCTCACTTTTTTTTAAATTCGTTAGTTGATCATTACGATTGCACATAGGTACCTATCCAGCTTTTATTCAACGTATATGTTTTTTATGTAAATTTTATTTTTCATATTTATTTTATGATAATAAATGAAATCCTAAAATACAAAATAATTTTTCCACTTTTATTTATCATATTTAATATTGGACTTATAATTTAGTTCCTTTGTATGATATAATTTAAAAAAAAATCAAGTATTTAAAATCGTTCCAAATAATGATCATTAAAGTGAACATCAGTCAATTCTATAGGAGTCTGGATCCCCCGAATCTAAAATTATACAAACTAGTCGCGGGGTAACACGATACCCTCCCTCGGGGTAACGACGAACGTATGCTGTGGGGACGGGCTTATGCTGAACGACACATACCAATTAATTATAATATATAATAAATATATTTATTATGAGATAAGTAAGTATTTATTATAAGTTTGAAATCACCAACCCGTCTTGAGCAAGCTTGGTGATTTATGCTCAAATCTTCTCCATGTGAGAAGAGGCCCATGCTCAGCAGTGAGCTCTGATAGGCCAAAAAAAATATTTATTATAAATAGGTTGAGCTTTTGATAAATATGAAATTATAATGTTTTATGAAAACCGGATTGTAAAAATAAAATATAATATAAAGCTTCCAAATGTAACACTAACATGTTTGAGTTATTATTTCACAAAAAAACTGAAAAGTTTCTGAGAAGACCCCAAGTGGGTAAGTTAGTAAATAATTCAACATTTTCATTTGTTTACTTGTTAATATATTACGAAAGCAACAATTAATTAATTTATATTTATTTGTAATATTAGTTGACTGTTGTATACCGTCGTCCCGCAAGGTGCAGTACAATCACTTACGCAATTGTTTAAACAATGACGTAATAAAATATCGTATTACGCGAATAAATGCGCATCCGTGAGATGGGGGCCTTTTACCCCCGGACCCGGACCCGGACCCGGACCCGGGCCTGGGTAATTATTAACATTCTTTGTGACTGTCATTGTACGGAGATATATTGATGATTGAAACAAATATTAAAGAAATATATTGTTTAAGAATATATATAAGTATATAATTGTAAATTTTTATGTATTTTTATATACTTTGATCTGCTTTCAATGTTTAAATAAGCTATTTTTAACACTAAACCATTTCACGATCGTCGTCTATGTATAAGCGATATAAACAAAGAAACAATATATGTCGATTGATCTATTAAGTATTAGATAAACTTTTTCAAGAAATACTTTCAAATTATTTAATAACTATATATTAAAAACACAGATACATAATCGATTTGAAACAAACAGACCAAAAACATAACACGTATAAAACCAAGCCATGACCGCCATTACACGCTAGACGTATTTGTATTTTTTTTTCCACCACTAATAAAGTACCACACGATCGTCCACATACAGCCGATCTCACTCGGTGGTCGCTACCTCACCTCCTTGGTCCAATCAACTGGAATGATTTTTCATCCATTTTATTTATAATAATTCTACTGATATTCATCTCTCGTATGAAATATTTTTTCTTTGCAAAATTTTACGATAGATGCGTCGCACTTATTGAAAAAAAGGAAAGGTGTGTATGAATCTATTTATTTAAAAAAACAATGACGTTTGTGTGTAAAACTTATGACAGATGTAATGTAGATTTTCATTCTTCGACTGCAGATGATTTAATTTTTTAATATAATATGAGATATTACTAATAGGTACATATAAGATCTCTTTAAATAATTTTTGAATTTCTTGTTAATTGTTCTTGTGTGTATAATAATGTACCTATAATATATAATGTATAATAACTCTATAGTTTAAAAACTTTCTCTCATAATCCTATTTATCTGAAACTTTAAACACTTGTCAATTTTTATATATTATTATGATTAGAGTATTATTGACCTCTTCAATATGATATTAATATTCATGTTTCCTTTCTTTTGTTTCCTTAGCAACAGTCAGTTAAAGATGATATATGTATTTTTAGTGTATGAGATAACATTGTCTCAAAACCCTAAGATTAGGTAAATTGACAATAAATTATAAATTATAGAAAACTAAGTAACTTTGATTAGGTATAAGATGTATAATAAACATAAAAGATTTTGAAACTCTCTTGGTTTACCTCATTTATATAAAAGTAAGAAAACATAATTTGCAATTTTAACAAAATTAATTTAAAGACTTAACTTATACATATAGGTTTGAAGTTCTAACTATGCAATAATAAATTAATTTAGTATTACAAATACAAATTTATTTCTAAATCCCCATAAATATTTTACTTAAAACAAAAAAATATTTAATCCTAAGTTTGTGTTGCCAATATAAAAAAACCAACAATATAGTAACAGTGAAAGTATTTTTTTCGTCTGTTAACACAATTGCAAATGGCGTCGGCGCCTTCACCGTCTACAGATAATGTATTGTTTATTGATTATTTAACGCTTGCCTGCACGGATTACAAACTTAAGATGATTTAAAAGATAACTCAGGATAAGCAGATTTTTTGTAACATTTGAAAGTATTTGTGCAAAATATATATATATTTAAATATAATTTAATTCATTTATTTTGTAATGAAACTTATTTCTTAATAGATATTTAATTACTAACTTTTGGTGTCAGGTCCATCGTTGTAGTGAGGAGCTTCAACAGTGACTGGGACTTGTGACCCAGGTGTAGGTTTAAGACTATCTAACGCGTTAAACTATCTATATATCTAACGCAAATTTAACTATTAAATAAACTCAATTCCGAACTTAGTAATATTAGATCTTCATACAATTTAAGTACATTTTTTTCCTATTTTCATATTATTCTTGTATCTATTTAATAAAAAATGTCTTTACAACAATGAGATGATAAACCTATTATACAGATCTCATGTTATTTTAGTTTCTTTCATATTAAACTCTCGCTCCAACGAACATTTCATGTGACAGTGACTCTTAATACGTTATAATGTTTTAAATAAAACGTAGATAAATGTAACGTAAATGAACTAAAAGATTATAACGCTACATTTATTTCTTAGTATTTTTAAAAACTATTTTCTTTTAAACGAACTTTATCTATCTTCTTTTTTATCTTTCGAGATGTTACACAATCTTTTTTGTGTAAACTTTTTGTATATATTAATAATTATTAATTATAAATTTGATTGTTACTTATACTGTTGTTTATACTGAAAGAAATCGATTTAATGAACATTATAAAAGATGATATTATATGAAATTTCAAACAGCATGAAAAGACTAGTATAATATTGTCAATATTTCTTTATAACTTATATTATTATACTTAGTTCTTGATTAAAGTTTGATAATTAGAACATCTTTAATTCATTTAAATGTACATACATAATCTTAGCTATTGTCAGTTCCATATTTTAAATCGGAAACTGTATTGTAATAACAATATTCAGTTCAGACGGAAGGATAGTTTTTCCCCCGGCGCCGCTCGGCAAATAATCCTAAAATAATAGATGAGAGGTGACGGCCGGCAGACGACCGACATAGAAATTAGAATAGGTAGAAAACTGTACTGTATGTACTTAGTATAGGAGAAATAATGCTATTTATATAGGTATAAGGAATTATAGTTAAATTAAGTAATAAATTTATAGTAAGTAGATAAAGTATTCATTAATACCTATTATACATGTACCTGTATGTATGTGTGGATATTTTTTTATTTACAATAGGTAAATTAAAACAAACGCCATTTTAAGGAAAAGCGTTTATGATATGGAAAATAAACAACTATTAAATTTATTATAGTTTGTTTTATTCTAATACATTTGTATGATAACACCTAGTTTTTAACTCAGTTCTGTTCTAATTCTGAAAGAGCAATACTTCAGTAATATAAGTTTCATTAATGAAATATTTACCTACCTACAATATAATAGATTAGTTAAAATATCTTATAAGTTTCCAATCAAAATATCGAAATCCTAAATTTCCAATTAAAATACTAAAACACACTAATTAATCATCAAAAATAAATTAAAAACCCAATAATATTTTTTCTATAGAGTCGTTTCTATAATATCTACATAATATATCATACATATCTACTGTGAACCATCCATCGTGGATCACCTCCGGACACCCTGAGCCTGAACGTTCCATCTCCCTTCGATATTCAAATTCGAATGTCTCAGCGAGGCGTCGCTCGTGATCAGTTCCGACCAATCGGAAGCCAAGGATCCACATCCAAGGATCACGGATCCATCCCATTGGTCATCATCGACAGTTCCACGTCCTGTTATCTCCGTCCCTGTCTGTTCTATGCTCGTGGTGCTCTATCTCTTTCCCACGGCCGACTCCTGAACAGCCTGTCACTAATAATTCAAGTCTCTTTTGTAATAAATGTTTATAGAATTATCGTATTTTAATCCCATACAGTTCCGTCTGATCGAAGATGGCCGATTGTAGGAGACTAGATGTTATGTTATTATACAATAATTTCTCTTAGTTTAGATAAAAATATTTAATTCAATATTAAAGGACATCATAATTAGTAATTACCTTAAAAGCCGTTTTATTTTATAAATCAAAATGTACCTTTAGAAAATAATATTACAGGACATTTTTCATAGGAAACTTTTAATGATAAAATAACAAAAATAGCTAAAATATATCGAATAAATATGAATGTAGAGCGATTATCTTAATAAAATTTCAATACAAATAAGTCTGTACCCTTAGCAAGAGTTTGAATCTTGACACTACAACACCATCAGTTCTTACGTCTAAGTACATCTATCCTATGTCCACACAAATTCTTATTTAATACTTGTATTAAAGACTCTCCGTCAAAACGTAAATAGTTCTTCAGTACACACAATTAATTTCAATAACAAAATACATAGTCTTACTTGTATTCTTATAGTCATTACAATTAAGAGGTATGTTACTTCATTAAAATAAACTTAGGGTACTTTTTGAAAAATACTAAAATTATTAATTACCTATAATCCTACCACAAAACGGTCCAAATATTTGAAAAAAAAAACAAAAAAGGCTTCGGAAATACAGTTTGTAAAAATAATAAGTCAAATCTCTAATATATTTCCAGCTGAAAAAAAACAGGTGACTTAAATATTGTAAGATTCAAAAATATGTATTATGTAAAAAAGACACACTTGAAACTGTTTTACAGAAGAAAGTTTAAGGGAACTAACGACATCTGTTGTTTAAAAAACATTTTTCTCTACATATGATTATACTTCAACTCCTCGTATTTTTAATGTGTTGAAACTCCAATAGATGTCACTACTAGTAACATAGAACTAAAATTTTATAAATATTTACTTTTCATAAATTTTATAATTTTAGTATTCTTCTGTAATACTTAATATTATTTTAATTTTATGTTATGGTCATGAAAATATTAAAAATATATACAAAAATATTAATAATGGCAATAAAAATGACACGTGTCACGAACGCTTGCGCGATGTTTTGGTGACGCACTGGCGAGACGTGTTGACGTTTCAACTAATTTTCCTTCTCGATTCACTTTTACATACGTGTCAAGTGAGCTTGTGCGTGTCCGGCTTTAAAAAGCCTTTAATTTTAAGATTATTGTAAGTATACTTTATATTTTATTCAAAAACTTTTTGCTATATTAATTTATCTTACTGTTACGATAATTACTGTTAATAATGTTTGTTGTGGTTAACGCTTCTCTGAACCAAACTACGTTTTGGATAATCTAGAATGATTTTCGATAACAATCAATATGGTCTTCTCTTAAAAAACATTCAAATATATCAGCAATTTAAACCGCTATGTTTTTAAAGGTATTTAAGTAGACGTGGCAAAAGTGAACGTTAATTCTATTATAATTTAACCTGTCTTCCGTGAATTAACATCTGTCTACACAACTTTCGTAATCAACAGTCTTTTTGTTTCTCCATATAACTCTTATATTTAATACTTTAAAAGTTATATAGAACACTTTATAATCTATATTTGTTTTGTATGTTCATTTATACAATTTCAAATGTTTACCTTTTGTTTGTGAAAGTTATAGTTGCATTACAGTGTATTTATAATTAAAAATTTTATTTTATTTTCAGGACAAATTTAACTGATAATCAAATAAAATGGCACCAAAACAGAGGATGCGCATCGCCAACGAAATTGCCAGCAAAAATATCACCATGAGGGGGAATGTACCTAAATCAACAAAGGTAAACAAATGTTATTAAATTTATCAATAATTTATTTTATATACACCTGATTTTTATCATTGTTCTATATCCAATGGCTTATTTACTTTCAAATGTGAAAGTTTCCTAGATCTATGACTGAAATAACTTTCTAAATTTTAATTTTTTTTTTATGCAGACCAGCAATGTTATCATGTTGTACTGCTTCCATAGTTAGATGTTATTGATAATCATTACATTCATTATGTTCTTTCAATGTAATTACAACAGAAAAACAATAGTCTATTCACAATACAATAATATATAAATTTATATATTAAAGATTGTCATTCTCCGCTTTTTATTTTTATTGCGAGAAGGTAGTCTTAAAAAAATATCATAGTGCAACTTAACAGTTTTCTTTTGAATTTCAATACTTAATAAGTAATAAAGTTGAATAATATTTCAACCAAAACATAAATCTGTTATATAAATATTATTTGTTCAATCGTGGGATTCACGGAGCGTGTTATCAAACTAAAGATAATATTTAATTTGTATCTACTTTTATTGATACTGCTTTTGATATGGATATCTTAATTACTATAAAATTATATGTAACAAAAAATTGTAAACATATTTATAAATATATAAAATTTTTATACAGGTGTCAAAACTGAGTTAAAGTGTATGTCTGTTAATACATACATTTCCTTACCTTTCAATACTTTAATATAGAAATTTATTCTGTTTATTTAAAAGTAGTTAAACCAGTTATTACACCAAATTTTTATGTTATTTCTTTTTTTATTCTCACTATATCCTGATAAGTCATAATCCAGTTAGAAAATAATCAATATTGGGCTATTGAATAAAAACTATTTCTAAATTATATTTTATCAAGAAATTAAATAATAAGCATTTTATTGCATTGTATATTTCTGACGGCAATAAATTCTGGTGACTGTCCCATTTTTGACAAATAAGTGGAACATCGTAGAATGAAGTATAATTAAAATTAATAACTTTTTTCTTTCAGGAAAAGGATGATCAATATCCCGTAGCTCCCTGGTTGCTGGCTCTCTTCATCTTCGTAGTTTGTGGTTCTGCCGTCTTCCAAATAATCCAATCCATTCGACTCGCCTAAAAACTCCTCTCCGACTGATAATTTTAGAAAAAAAATTTAATGGCATAGTATTTTCTACCATTCCTTTGGCTCGAGACTGTAAATATTTTGCTCTCTTGAAATTACTTTTGCCATTCGCTTATAAATTTCATCTATGCCAGTAACAAAGATTGTGATGTTCCCGATGTTTCCTAATTCTCCGTTGTAGCTCCAACCGATGCATTAATGTGTTAAATATTATTGCATTAACTATAATCTCAATGTATGTACTATATTCTTGTATATTATAAAAATTTAATATAAGGCGTGAAATGCACTGGGCAATTTGAATTGGAATGTTAAATAATTAAATTGATAACAATGAAATTGCATTCATTAAAACATTTTAATCGCCCCAAGTTCAGTTCTAAGCCTAAAAAGCATTTCATATATTTTCATTCCTCGTTTATTTAAGACCCTCTAAAGACGCACAATATGTTCCAAATACAATTGTTGCATTGTTTTTTAATTGAATTTAGTATAATTTATATGGTTTTAATGTTTTATCTGAACCACCTTTATGAAATTATTTGTCGGTACTATTTTTAATTTTAATTGTAATTTATTTGATTAAATACAGTATATTTGTCGATAATTTGAGTTTTTATTTCCGTGAAGAGATCTTAATCTACTGTAAGATCTTTATCTTTATTAACTTTTTATCTATCATTTTGCCATCACTTTAAAGCTTTATTTTTTATTAAAATCACCTTTGAAAGCTCTCACTTATGCTACTTTCACAAGAAATTTCACTTTAAGAAGGTATAACTAAAAGCAAAAATATCATACACCGTTTAGTTTGCGAACATCTATTTTGTAAAAGTAAATAAAAATTCTTTATTGTTCCGAAGCCAAATGAACCATCTATAAATTATTAATTTATGTTTTTATCGCCTACATCCCTACAAAGTGTACACAATGTTATATTTTTGCGCAAATCTCCGATCCTTGTCAACTGTCATAACTGACTTTTCACTCTTAAGTAATTAATTCGACATCTAGTAACATGCGAATATATTATGATTTAGTATTTATGAAATTATATCAAATTTGAATAACATTTTGTGTAAGTATTTTGAATAAAAGTGAGAAATTATAAACTTAATAAAACTGTAGAACTGGTACTTTTTACCAACACTAAAACTTTCCACTCTGTGAAATCAATAAGTAACGAAACGTGAATCTAGTCGAGATTACATAAAATGTCAGGTTTAACCTCGACAGGTTGTAAAACATTATTTAGACTCATTTTATTTTTGTCTTTCGATATGTAGGTAATTTTTTTATTGAGTACTTCCCTCCATCACAATAAAATATTTGAATATTTGCTAATTGTTGTAAATATGAAAGTTTGATATATTAAAAATATATATTTTCCTACTGATTAAACCAAAAACGTTACTCCTGTAATTACTGAAATATCGACGGTCACTTTGCTTAAAACAAAAAAAACTAAGCTATGCCTATTAACTCATTAATAGAAAGGTAATTTACAGGTGATTATGAAATAAATTCCCAAACATGAAAACAAAACTCAAACTCAAAACAAAATTACAGCATTTAATCAGCCATAGACCATGAGAAAAAAATTGATTTGTAGAAGGTGACTAACCGAAGAAATGGAAAATCCTCATTTAATATTGGATACATACATAAATCGTTTTACTAATAATAATATCAATATTTTGAATATCTAGTATAATCGAAAATGAAAATTTCAATTTATAATAATAAGATAAGTTTGAAGACTATTAAGATTTCAGATAAACAAGACGTCTACAGAAAAATTATTGTAGAAAATATAAATTTAAAAAGTATACCTATTAAAAATAATCAAGGACGAATATTAATAACTTAGTAAAGAATAGTTTAATGGTTATTGTTAGTAAATTTTCAATTAAAACAGTCATTCTAATATCTATCAACTAACATTTTGTCATTCATTTATTGCATGTTGAATTACAGAATGTAGGGAAGTGAGGGAAGTTGAAGGTCACTCAGACCAGACAAAGCAAATGTCACTCCGTCAAAGGCTCATTTCAATTGATCGTGTAACTTTCATACATTAATTAATTCTTTCAATTGTTCCGCAAGTTTTCTGTGTTTTGATTATTGATTCATATAAAACTCATTTCGTTTTTAACACGCGTATTTCGTACTTTCACGTTAAGATTAAACTTCAAATTTAAATATTTCAGATATCTTATCTTAAATACATTTCATATTATCATTGTTCCAGTTTGATATTCTATTGACACACTAAATTGAATACATTTCCTAAAAATATTTATTATATCCAAGGACAAGACTAAGTTTCACTTGCATCATTATTCTTGGTTTCTAACCTAACCACATCACAAACTTATTTTTTTATTGAATTTGTCGCTCTCGAGTTTAAAGTTGCCACGCAATAGACAAATGGAGAAATAATTGGTAATAAAGTAGAAAATTGATACAGAGAGGTAAGGTTTAATTATTAAGATATTATTATTTAGTTTTAAAAATATTTTTTTTTATTGAAATCTCGTTTACCTACGTTATAATTCTCGGCTTATTTCAATGAAATATTAATTATTGAAAATTCAGATGAGGCAAAACTAGCGCCCTCTGTTTGATATTGTAACTAACCCTTATCTAAATGTTGTAATATAGAATTTTATAAAATAAGATATGTGTTGTTTGTACTCGAGATTCATTGTCCAGTTGTGGAAGAATAAGTATAAAGTATAGTATATGTTACACTTATAAAACTAATATTTGTTTCTTCTACATTTTTAAGTTTTGTTATTAAATAAACAAAACTAAGTATATAATAAAATGTATAATCATTTCACTTTAATAAAGTATTGTGACTAGTAGTGGGAAGGTGAAGTAGAACAAGTTAGACACGGGGTTGTATCAAAAGTATTTCAGGAACAGCGAAGGATAAAGTCACATACATGTTCACATCTTTAATATAGTTCCTAAACTTACTACATATCAATAGGAATGGTTTGTAATAAAAATAATAGAAATCATTATATTTATAAACATTTATTTATCTTCAAAGCGTCTTTTATTCATTTTACATTTATTTCGAGAGCATTTCACTTAACTATATTACAAAATATTAATCTATATGGTACAAATTTACAATAATTATATAATATTGTCATGTGATATGTGAGACTTAAAATATAGTCCTTCGATGGTGTTTCATACATATGTTTATGAGAAACAATCCTACATAATATTTACTACAAAAATACCTTAATGGTACTTAGATTTATTTATTACTAAGTTATAATAGGAAAAACTATGGGCTTTATATAATATATAAATTGAGCACCTTTAGCAGCACCAATTTTACAAACAGTGATGGTGAATTAAAAAAAACTTATACGGTTAAATAATAATTGAAGATGCAAGTGATATGTGTCTTACAAATAGAAATAATAAAAAAGGAATACTGAAATATTGAAAGTTTATGAAATTTAAATGATATTTTTATGTGTAGCTACTCTTCTAACTATTTTACAGAACACTTGGTGTCAACAAGGATTTCTATAAACGACCTTACATTTTTTCAAATTTCAAATATAAAGACTGAATTCACACAATAACTTGAATGTACAATATCTTTTGTATAACTATATAAAGACAAATGATATTCATAAGTATATAAAGATTTTGTGATGATTAAAAATCTACTAGACCTGTTCCTATGGAACTTTTTATGAAATAACAGTTGACTTGAGCTTCGTTATAAAATCAATATCATACAAAACATAAATCTAGTTACAACTGTTTAACGCGGTGAATAAAAGCCTCTTAATTTATTAATCTACAATATGACACTTAGGTGATTGGTATATATTAAATGTTAATCAAGATATGGAGGGTATGTAACACTAAGTAGATTTTTATAAACTATTTTAAGGTATCATAGATGGCCTCGTTGGGATAGTTACCGTTCAGATGTATACTGTTGCTGAAGTTCAAGTTATGTTTGCTTATGACTTCACTGTCGATGTTCTCAACGGGATAATCCTCCATGTTGCTCGTTATTTCTAATCTGATCGCGTGTATGTTCTGTTCCGTATTCTTATCCCGTTCCCATGAATCAACTGCTATGGACACTTCGTTTCTGCTCTCAGTATCATCAGACTCACTGGACGTTATACTTGAAGTGTCCAGTTCGAAATCCGTCGTTTTCTCTATAACGACAACTTCTATGTGTCTGAATGAGTTCTCCTGATTGATCATCTGTCTCGCTCTCTCATCGTTGCGATGTATCACTTCCTTCTTAACGTTACATATAACGGGATCCGTTGCTAGTACGTCAACGTTGTAATCGTAAGTTTCTTCTTCACTGGTTTTGTTGTTGGGTGGACATATTTCTGCGTATATATTGTCTGATGTGGAGTCTGATTCGATAGTTTCTTCTTCCACATGAACCGCGTCCGCTACTTGGCCGTAAGGTAGATCTTCAATAACAGGTAACTTTCTCTTCTGTATTGATGATATCGATCGCCTCAGTTTCTTCTGTATCTGAGGCTCTTCTTCTGATATATCGACTGGAGATGTTTCGTCCAACTCGGACTTAGGTGTGGGAGCTCTCGGTTTCTCAATTTTCTTTCTGAAATTCGCCAATTTATCATTTTCACTGGTCCTTTCTGTTTTGGTCGGCATGCTGTTACTGTTGCTGGCTTCCTTCTTTTCATTAGATTTCTTTGGATGAAGTAAATTTGAAGTAGATTTACTGAGAACACGTTTTGTTTTTACGTGAAATTCGGAACATAACTTTTCTGTGATGAATGAATGTTGCTTGTAATTAATCTCGAAGTCATTATCGTTGTATAGAGATCCAGCCCCAAACATATTAATATCTTCACAGCTTTGTATTTGGTTGTATGACTCGGATTTCACGATTGCTTTCTCTGGTATAAGGTCTGGCTGTATCCTCTGCCTCCTCTCCAGATTTGATGATGATTTAGATGCTGAAGATTTCTTCAGCATGTTTTCGTCGAGGGATTTCAATTTTCTTCCAGAGCTCGTGTCGCTCTCCATGGACCCGCAGTAGTTTATTTGGTCAACACTAAGGTTCTTTCGTCCATGTTTCATATTTATTCCACTGTCTTCTTCCTCCGTGTATGAACTGTCCGGCATCCCCGTCTGTACTGACACGAATTTCGTCAACACAACCTTTTTATGACTCGAACTACACTGACTCGTTCCCATCTCAGATGAAGACGTTGTGAGACTTTTGTATGAATGGCTCTTCTCCGCCGTTCCATCGTTTTTCCTAAAGACGCCAAATCTATCCTCTATCAGTTTCGCCATATCTTGATATCGTTCTATGGAACTATGTTTCTCACCCAACGGATCAAACGGATCTTTAATGTCTCTATGTTTATCATTATTCTCTATCGCTGTTATTTTGTCATCCAACTTCTCAGTACTTTTGAGTAGTTTTAAATTTTTAAACCACTTGTTCTTCCTCTGTCCAGAGTCTTCTCTGAACACGTGCATCTTGTCGCTAGAGAACTGTTCCGTCTCAAGTTTCTCATCACTCTTATCATCTTTTCCCTCCTCGTCGCTGTACACGTCATAGTTCATATGCTCGAGTTCGTTTTTACTTAAGAATATGATAGAGCCTTCCGTTTCGTCGGGGATGTCCCTCAATACTTTGTCACTTTTCCCGAATAATCTTGATGTATCAATCTTTAAACCCTGAAGGGTGAACTTCTTTTCTTTCTCAAACTTGACTGGTTCGTGGTCTTCTTTCATGAGTTCTTCCACTGTCTTCGCTTTGCTGACAACAGTGGAATTAGCGTAGGAAATCTGCCTGATCCAGTTGTCAACGTTCAGTTGACAGAAGGTTAGAGCTTTCTGGAGTCGCGCGGAGAGAAACATTCTCTTTTCGTTTTCGAAGCCGAGCTGCGTTCTTCGGACTTTGATGTTGCTGTTCAATGGTAAGAGCTGCAGTGTTTCCTTGGCATAGTACCTCGGATCTACTTGCTTGCTGGGACTCGACGGCAAGGAGCTATACTCTGGTAGAGTACACATTACCAACACAGGCTCTGTGATAGCAGCCCGAAGAAGTAGATCGTCTGAAATGAAAGTAAATTTGATTGTAAAGACATTACCTCTCAACATCAGGTTTCATAAAATATTTCAAAATATTTGACCTCATAAATAATAAACTTCTATTTATATAAAGGGGTTATTAATATAAAAGTATGCTATCTGGATGGTCATGACAAAAGTCTTAAATTAACCAATGGAACAAGTCGGACTGGTCGGCCGCTGTAAGGCTGGTTTATTTATAGGATCGTCTCAGGAGTCAGTGCGAGCAATATATATTATTATCAATATATTATCGTACACATCGATAAATAACATCCAGCAATTATGATATCAATGTTCTGTAACAGCTCCGTTCATATTAAAGATATTCTCAATGAGAAATAAAATGACCTTTATGTGTGAACAAAAAATATAGTTAGTATTAAGATAAGGTAATGTCCTACCTCCAACATCATGTGCCATTTCAATAGGTACGGTCCCAGCCAGCAGCCTGACTCTAGCTGGTAATCTCCACAGGCTGAGGAGATGCGGCAGGCGATGAGCTCGTGATGCTATCTCCGGGGGGACGGTGGCCGGTGGTGAGGACGTGTCCCACTCACTAGGAGACAACTCCTCGGGACACACCTCGTACATTTCGCCCTTAGTGTTGATAGGAACGAAGAGCTCCTGGAAAATATACATTCCTGGTAACTTATATGTCTGAAACATAAGTTTATATACATATTATGATTGAACTATGTCCAGAAAATAGTTAAGTACCATGATTCTATGAAGAATGTAAACAGCTGAACCACCTGTATCATTTAATACGGTTTAATGTCATTTGTTTTAACAAACTAAATGTAGTCTACTGAAATTATTCAATATATATTTTTGTCAAATTAAGAATCGAATCTGAATATCAACGAATGAACATAATATATAGCAAATTTCAATAGAATTTTGCAATCTTGTAAACAAACATGATACATTGTTCTCAAGCTACGTTATAAAAATAGTTACTTAAATAAAAATGATTTGAAATCTTTCATATTTATTATTATTTATAAAGTGCGAAATAATGTTAAAATAACTATAGTATAATAATATAATTTCTAATAAAATCAATGTACAATAGAGGCGTCGAAGTGAAACAAGCGGCCAACGAGTATGATATTAACCTAAATAAACTCTTACACACAATGGTGTAACAACATATCTTGATATGAAGACAAGTTCATTACTTAATCAATTTTACACTAGGGTTGCCACTTTATACAGCGAAATTAACTAAATTTAATTGATTTTAATAATAATACCATAAATGCCTAAGTTTGTGACAATGTATATGTATATATGTAGATAGATACGTGTGTAATGTGTTACCCTTTGAGGAAAAAACGACAAAGGAATTTTAATTTAACTACGAAAATAACTTAGACATCTGATTGATACATAGGTTATAATTTTTCCCGGAATTCGGTTCCATTCTCGTGGGACCACGGTATAATAGTTTTAATTATTATGAAGTCTGTGACATAGACCATACAAGTTACTATCAGTTGGTTATCATTCCTATTACTTTAATAACTTTCGTACATTTCTCTCTAGATCAAATTCAGACTTTCATCAAGTCTAAAGTTGCTGGCAAAAATCAGTTATGTAATAATTACCACAAAAAAATATATATTCATATAAATATTCGGCTTCTCTTTTAGACTGTAATAAAAATCTTTATAATCTAATTAATAGTTTTGAGTATGAAAGAACAGTACTCAAAATATATGCGAATAAATTGCCAATTTTATTAATTAAACGTTGTCAGCCCTGATATAGGAAGACAAAATAAAATACATGTATACATACATGCAATGAACGGATAGTTATCGATCCTAATATTTTAACAAAATGTTATGACAGTGTTAGATCAAAGATATGGAGTTAAATAAATAAGTAGAACAGTATATTCTAGTATGTATTTTGAGTCTACATACTAGTTAATGTATTTGATTAATAATTATTAATATGGTATTCGGATACACTATGTTCAACGTTTGTCCTCCGCTAGCAGTGTGCTGAATCGTTTCTGATAATCAGTCTTTCCAAACTTCTGGTCTACTTTCATATAAACCCAATCTTTTCCATACATCATGAGCTCCTTGCTCAGATTCCTATGTTTCGTCACAGTTGACGTTTTTGAGGTCCAGGTGATGACAGCGTTCTTCCCGTATTCCTCCAAATCCAGGATTCCGTGTCGGGACACTATAGAGCCGTCCAGCTGAATAACTATCAAATGCGGTACAGATGTCACCTCGTACATATATTTCAACACCGGTATGACCGGGTCTGAATGCTTCACAGTGAACCAGTTCGCCTGCTCCTCGTAACACTTCATCATATCTTCCTCAGTTTCGTCCATCGGTACGTTTATCACTTCAATGGGAAGGTTCACGTGTTTCACGTTCTCGTAAATGCTGTAGAACTTCTCGATAACTCCATCCTTGTCTGTCTCATAGGATGAGAAGAGGAGGCATATAACGTCAGCGTTAGTTTGCAGCCATTCGTGTGGTACCAGCTCGTTGTTTTTGTTGAATATCTCAACGTCCTTCAGCCACTCGTACGGTTTAAACTTGAACTCTGTTGATTCCATCGACTTCAGTATTCTTATAAAAGTTAACTGTCATTTTGACATTATCCGATTTTATTTTTTAATTTGTAAAGACAATATATAGTAATACTCTTTTGTGTATGTGTATGTACATATGTGATGGCCTAGTGGTTTAAGGCCTGCCTCTCGTGCATGGGGGCGCGGTTTTGAAGGCTGGCAACTGGCAAGTACCAATATCATTTTTGTTACAATTAAAGTATTATAAAAGAAATGTGATATAAAAAGGATAACTAATCTCTTAAAAGAGATCTCTATCAGAAACCCTTTTGATATATTTTTGATAGAGGAAATGAGAAAAGAAATGTGGCATAGGCACAATAAAATGAGAGAAGGAAAAAATAAAGAAAGAGGTTTATAGATATATATAAGAATACAAACCAAATAACAATAGTATAAAATTCAGATATTATACTTACATAGATATATACATAAATATATTACATATTATATTAAGGTAAAAGTGACAGAAGATGTCTCTTAAGTCGATATTTAAAGGCAAATGCACTTGGACTCTTTGTAAACAGAAGGTGGGAGTGAGTTCCAAAGTTTTGCACCTTGGACGGAGAAGGATTCGCGATAAAATTTTGTATTAAAGGAGGGGATATCAAGAGGATTTTGTGCAACACAAGAGCAATTAGGAAGGATTCTGGGGGAGGAAAATTTAAAACGCTCGAGTAGGTATAGAGGAGAAGAATGTTTGAATGTATGTACTTTCTAAGAGTATTTAGACACCACTGACGGACGGTGAAGGAAAATATCGTGAGGAAACCTGGACTTATAATATCAAATTATAAGTTTGAAATCACCAACCCGTCTTGAGAAAACGTGGTGATTAATGATGAAGTCTTCTCCATGTGAGAAGAGGTCTTTGCTCAGCAGTGGACTCTGATAGGCTGATGATGACTCTTTTGTGTATCTTTTTTTTTATTATGCTATAACTGAATTCACACTTTCTTATTAATTAAAAGAACATTATATAATAGTCTATATTAAAGATTTTATATGATTATATTGTAGATAAAATAACTTCTTTTTATTGAAAAGTTTCCCCTCTGCCTTATTCACATTAATTATTATTATAATCTTTGGTCTACTTAGTTATGTTAAATTACATCTTCCCATAATGATAATATGTAATAATAAATGTACATACATTAAAGTTATTTATACCGTTGGGTACATGTAATTGTATAAAACTAATATTTGGACATAAATATCTAAAAAGAAATGTTCATGTCCCTACCCAATTAACCAGCCTCTGTTTAACTTGTTCCCGTATATGGTTCAAAGTTGACGGAAATCTCAATTAATTGTTTGTCAAGATTATATTCTATTGCAATCATATAAAAACTAATTTCAACGTGTTTTATCAGCGATAAATTCAAAATGATCTGTCACTGAAAGTTATCAACGAAAAAATATAGGATTGACGCTTATTACTATCGAAATAAAGTCCATTTTAGATTGTATTAAAAACGAGTGTCACTCCAAGTTGAAGAGAATATATATTAGTATTGGCTCTTATTGCTATATTAATAGAGTCTATTTTAGATTGTGTTTAAAACTGTGCATAGCGTTCGTGCGACGTTCGTTAAATATTGAACAAGTGAACTGCGAGACTGACCGCGGTCAAAACGTGACCATAAAAACTGACGCGGAATATAAATGTATTTGATAATTAAAGACGATTCTCAACTCTATCATCTATAAGATAAGGTTGATGTTTCGATGATGAAATTTGTACGTTATACGCATAGACTTAGTTTATGGTTACATTCCTAGACAATAATAAAATTAAAGATGGCGTACTGTTGTATCTGATGTTAATTATTATTATTCTTTATTATTAAAGAATTTAGCTAATTAATTTGAAATGTCTGCTTGAAAATTAATTAGAGGTAATATTTTTTTAGTAATATCAAGATCATAAGTAAAAAATATGAATCTTCCAAGCGCCCTTGAGAGGTCACTCAGGTAACGTCGCTTCCAGACAAGTTCAACCCACAAAATGGATGTTCCTGGAACCATCATGATTATATCTTTGATTTTATTTTATGAAATATTTTTTTGTTCCCTTCAAATATGCTTTAAAGTCTGCTACACTTCCAAAAAATGATATACATATTAGCAAACTTTTTGATGTTGAATTTTTGCGATTTCTGGTTAAATTTTATTTAAAAAAGAAACGAAAAAAATATTATATAGGTACCTACATACATATATATTTTAGACAAATCGAAAAATACAGTACTATTGCATTTCTTAATCTTAAAAACACATAGAATCTTATTTTTTTATTCTGGCAATACCTTATAAAAGTGACTATATTACGTTAAGAAGATATTAAACCTTTTTCGATATAAAAAAGATTATAACGTAAAATTTTCACAATATAGTAATTTGATAATAATTTTCTTTTCACATTTATCTTTCGTACATGACATATAATTGTAAAATATCATCATTGACGGAATCCCAATACGTTAGAGTAACGGTCAAAGGAAATTATGTGGAATTAACCTCAAAACGAATTCTTACAAGGTCAAACAGTCAGTTGTCTGTAGCGAGGTAATTTGTTAGATAATTTGATCATCACTTAGAACTAAGAATCTTATGTGTTTTGTAAGAGATATTTTTTTATTATTTATATGATTACTTCGTATTGACAATTTTATAAATGAGGTTTTATTATCTATAGTTTCGTTAATTCAAACATATATTATGTACTAAATGAGTGTCATTAGTCTTCCCTCGTAAATAATAAACATGTCCAAAACTCATCTGATAATCACAATTAGCGGGTGTGTTCGCTATCTTAACGTAATAGATCGCTTCACTTACACGCTATTACCATTTCAAGCCATTCGTCTTGGTGTCGTGCGCTTTGAGAATCGCTCGCCAACTTACATAATTAGACCCATTATACCATAAACAATACTTCATCTTTCGCCTACAGGCCACCGGACGGAACGTTTCAAACTATCCCCCATATATTTCATTATTATATTTAAACAATAATAATACTTAATGATAATAAAAATAAAACAAAAAATCGCGTGAAATGATAAATATATTCCTTTGTATACTTTATCCAAAACATTCAGCAGCTTTCTTTTGCATCAAAATGAAAAAACAAATAGTGACAGCCCTATTCCGTCGTCCTAGCAACACGGTTCACCGAGGACACTGCCCTCGCATTGCAGAAATGCACAAAAGGACTCACAATGCGTACACCGTGCACCTTATTACAATGATATAGAGTCTATTTTATATAAACCGATAACTCAGATAAGTTGGTACTGCGTTAGAATTCTTAACTCCATTTTGCGTTCTTTGCGAATTTTATCTCATAGGGATAGAGACTATTTTTATATAACGGCGTTGATGTACAAACATAGTAGTGTCTTAGAATTCTCAGTATCCTTTCGCATTTGTTTTGGACTCTATCACGTTCGTATAAGGATGAATCTCGCTTGGCTAGCTAGGGTTTAACTCGGCTAGATCTTTACTGTCGAGATCCTGCTGTGCGTTACTATGGGTTGTCGAAGGAAAATAGACAAAGAGTACTTAATGTTCTTTCGAGTGTAAGGACGTATTTCTTTTTAATTTCATTGCAAATGGCGGCGGGTGGAGAATTGCGAGTTTATAATAATGAAGCCTTTACTTTAAACAGCATACAACACAATAAATTACTAAGACGATCTCGAAAGGAATTTCGAAATAGCGAAACGGGCCTTACTATAGTACTCGCTTGGAAATTGGAATATCTTATAAAAAAACAACTATAGGAAAATAATTATTTTAAATTTAGAATTTAATATTTACTTATATTTAATTTTATATAAATAGTTACTAGGGATTTATTGTGTATTAGATCTCCAGGTAAATATAAATCGATAACCGTTCGATTAAACATGTTAGTGGTTGATCGTGTTTTGTTTTTTCTTCTTTCATCGTCTACGTGCTCGTGTGATGGTTGATTAATCGATATTAGTTCAGCAATAAAGTGCATCGCGTGTTTATAAAAAAGGTTATATATTTTTTTTTATCCGAAATAATTGTTCGTAGCAAATTTGGCTGAATGCGTTGAGACGATTTAGTATACACAGACTTTATTGATGACATTGACGTTGACATGACATTTTTTTAAATAAAGAAGTCGAAGGTTTTACATATTCAGCTTTGTTTTACGTAAGGATTATGAAATAATATATCTAATTCGTTACTCAACTCGCATGAGGTTTTATTGTTTTAGTGTTTAGGGTCAGGCGTGTGTGGGTGCGGGCTTATGGTAATGTTTCATGTGTCACGTCTTATTACACACTTTAATTAGGTAACTTAAAATTTTGTTTCTATAAATGCATTTTGTTGAAGATGTTTTTTTTTTATGATTGACAGCTACAAAAAAGGTTGTATGTTTTTCTATTAGTGTGAAGTATTGAATGTTGAAATTAATTTTTGTATTTATACTTATGTATTTAATTAAATATTTTTGGTAGTGCTGTTTCAATAATTTACAGTGTTATTTAAATGTGCAAAATGTAAAAATGTTGCCACAATACTATTTATTATTCTTGTAATGACAAATATTTTTTAGAGTCCTAAGATCATTTTAGACAGAGACAGTAATTTCTTAGTTGATATACAAAATATTACCTATGTTTTTTATATCTCAGCACAATGCCAATAAACTCGTTTATACGCGAAAAATAAAAATAAAAATTAAGAGCATAGTCCATTTTTTTACTTACCGGAACAAATCATTACCATAGACAAAGGATTTATTTGGTGTTCAATACAATTCAAAGCTTTGTTTAAAATTTTCAGTCACGCGATAAAATATTTTGTTCTTTGGCATGTAAAAATTAGTTACACTAGTAACCGTTAAATTTAATAATTAAAGTATTTAATTACTAAGGAATTCTATTAATAATTGACATCAGAAAAGGTTTGTCTAGTTGGTTTAATAAGCTTTATTTTGGTTCTAAGAAAATTTCATTATTCATGCAAGCGGATGCACTGAGAAATGGAGACTTATCCTTAAATTCAAAATCCTAACATTTTTTTTTACTTTTTTACATTTAAAATAATAGATACGTAATAATAAAATAATAGATAGCCTTATGTACAGATCGTAACCATCTCTAAAGGCAGATATCAATTTATATCTTTTTATATTATTTTATATATGTTATTTCTCTGGTAAATAAATAAAAGTAATTTCTAAACGTAAATTTAAACTAAAATCTCTGAACCAAAACCGTCATGTACAACATTTGAACCTTACATTAATCAACGTAATGAAGTTACCTAACAGTTAAAAAAAGTAAGTTAACAGCTCGTAGTTAATACGTAAGTTAAATACAAGTAATACGTGGTTATATAATAAAACAACATTCCGATATCAATGATGCCTAACGGGTTGAGGTTGGAGAATTAATTATTACATTGAAAAATGTATTTTATGAGGTGATGACGTCACTAAGGTGAAGTAGGGATGTTAAATGGAAGTATGAAAAATAATATTAGAAATAGTACTATTTATAATTGCTTGCGGTACGACTTATAATAAATGATTCTTGTTAGAAAATGATAGTACAGGGAATTTATGTTATTTTCGGTAGATCTTGCTTGAAAAACATACATACACTTCAAACATTTTTAATGTTGATGAATTTTTTTTAAACCACATATGAGAATAGTATCTATTGTCCTATTTTAAAGAATTAAAAAGTTTACCTTAAATACAAATTTTTCGTATTAATAAAAATTTCAATATTTATTATAAACGCCTTAACAAGTATTGTTATATTCTAAAAATCAAGAAAACTTCTTGCAAAATTAACTAACTTTTCTTATTATGTCAAGGTTAATCATAATTATTTTTTCAAATACATACAATAATTTGTTACGAATAATGTTGTCTGATATAGCTTGTAATAAAAATCGTCATAATCTAAAATATCTCATTATTACTCTTGAGTAACGTAATCAAAATGGGTAGAATCTAATTTATAACAAGTTAGATAGGGACAATGTTTTAAAACAAACAAGTAATAGCAAAAGCAAATATGTTCCACTAATCATTTCTATTTCGATATAAACGAATCCTACTAAACAAGATATATTTTGTAAACAAACCTATCTAGCTTATCTCTCTTTATTGATTAATGTGCTATAGTAATATATTACTCACATTTCCTTGTGGGTCAATCAGCTGAGCGTATTTGGGTGCTTTGGCCTTGCTGCCGTCAGCGAAGACCCCGGCCAGGCGTAGCGGAGTCCCGGGCCGGGCAGCAGCCCTCTCATACTGCGCCCCCACACGACCACTCTCTGTACAAATACGAAGAATTATAAGTTACATATGATTATAAAGAATCAACATTAATTACGTAACAATATCGTATTGTTAGTATTAGATATTGTTTCATTTACATTTAGGTAGTAATTTTGATTTTAACGAGGACTAAAAAATAATCACAACAAAACTTTCATTTTCATTCACGAGCTTTGCATTCGAGTTGAAGAAATACGTGGATAGTTAAGTGAATCTTTTATTCAAATACAGTTATGGTATATGAAGTAAATAAACAATATATACATATGTAATACTTATTTATAATAGATATATGTTGAGAAATTAAAATCTTCTTGTTGTATGTTATTTAGGATTTAAATTTTTAAGTTATTACGATTAAATATTATGTAAAAACTTACGAAGTACATAGTGTATTTTTTTTAAATATATTTATATTAGATTGTAACTTGTACGTACCGGAAGTCGGTCTGGCCCTGTACGCGGATATAGCGCGAGGGGACACGAGGGCGAAGGCCTGGGACCTCAGTAGAGCTGACACGGAGCCCCGAGACGACGCTAGGGCTCCGCCGCGACAACTACACGCAGAAAACCAACCTGTGAATTAAACGATCTTTGTATTAATTAAAAAAATTATAGATAGTTTCAAATATAAAGAGTGAAACTTGTTGTCTGTCAGAATGGGTAGCTTTTGGTCTATATGAAGTTAAAATATTCGTATAATTGAACAGTGTATTAGCAATGTGATTCTTTTATTGAAGTAGAATTTTATAATTTATACTGTTGTCTGTCTGTTATAAATTGATAAGTCTCAATTACTTCTTTAAGAGTCAAATAATTTTGAAAGATATACTAATAATCTTGTTTTGAAACTAACAATAAAAATAGTTAGAATTTTATACTATGAATACATAGTTGTATATAATAATAATTTTTATATGTTCTACAACCATGTTATGTGCCTAATCAAGGTGTAGGTTTCGTTTCGTAAACGTTTTATTTAGTATTTTGTAAGGTTTTGTATAAATACCGTTTAATATCTTTTTCTTTAATGTCTTTTACTTGTTGTATTTTCCTGTAAGTGTTAACGCATGAAAACCTCATAAGATAGTAATATCAATAAGTATTCATTTATCTTCTTCTACCTGGCAATTTCCCAGCTTTAGCCAGGGTCTGCCTTAAATGTTGTGAATAGTTTTGGCTAATTGTTTTTACGACCGGCCGCCTGCCTAAAATCAACCCTCTTTGTGAATGCATTAATCAGTGATATTTAAATAATAATAATAATGATATTTAATACCTATGAGACTCTGTAAAATCACATTGGTACTTTGCCAGGGCCAGGATCGAACCCGCGCCCTCTAGCACGAGAGGCGGGCCTTTAAACCACTAGGCCACCACTGACTTGTCATTAAGTATTCATTTATAAAGCACTATATATAAATTAATATTTTCAACAAGTCAGTGTTAAAATATCCACAGTAAATTTATCAAATATTATATTATATGTTCCCACTGCAGGGTGTGTTTGACGGAATGTCAACGACAATGGATCAACGAACAACTTTCTCTAAACAAAAACCAACACGTGCCCTTTTAAGGGTGAAACAATGGGCCGTTAGAAAGAACTATTAGGTCGCTGTAACCTTTAATGTGAATATTTATAACTATTATAACGTAATTTGTAACGATTCTATGTTTTTATACTTATATTATAGTTATTTTATATTTCTTTGTAATCATACGAATTTCATTATCTTTGGGAATTAATATTTTTGTTATCTCCTCTCTCCGCTAGATGGTGTTAGCCTACACTTTTCGTGTAACGTTTTGTGCGGGATAATATAAATTCCGAAAAATTTTCATTTGTTACATGTTATTTTTTCTTGATTAAAGTTTATAGCGTTATGATATTAAAAGCACATTTTGTGCAAACAGGGTAAAAAATAAAAATTATTCACTAAACACTTAAAATTTAAAACGAATCAGTTCCTGTCCATAACATTTTTAATTCTAAAATAAATATTTTTAAATAATAATTTTTGAATTTTTCTTTAATAATACATAGTAAATAATTTTCCATATCAAACCGAGATCAAATAATACCCAGCTTTTATGAAAATCAATTTCGTATATTTTAGTGTACATTGCCGCGACTAGATGGCGTATGCGACAGCGCGGTTAATACGCCGTGTAAAAAGTTCACCGGTTCAAGGCGCAGAGTAATTTCGATTTTAACTCACAGTATAACCAAATAAATTATTATTAAATTCCATACGAAATATTGATTATCAATACAATACCAAAAATAACTATTATAATATCTTCTATGTTGATAGTATTTTTTTATAGCTGTCATTAAATCACAGAAGCAGCGTGCTAAACTAAATCCATATCCCATATATAACTATATATTTTTATTTTTATTCATAATATAATATTGAAAGCTCTGTTATTTTCTGATCTGCACCCGTCTGTCGGACGTTTATATTAATTTTTATGGTACAGAACCCATACGGACGACCTTCAAGGACAACCGGCCGGACCCGACTTATATAAGTACTGTAAGTATTGCTTATGTTTCAGAACCTACTCGGTAATATTACTCGTTTTATTTAGTGTGTAATATTAAATATTTAAATATGAATTATTATACACATTTAGACTATAGAATGGTATAATGAAAATTGTCAAAAGACATCATAAATTTGAAGTAAAAATATATTTTGCATTTCGAAGAATTTTTGGAAAAGAATATATTCATGTATTTTTTATATGTTTTGTACATATGATATGATATTTTTAATATAAAGTAGGTATTTCTTGTATCAGAATACTATATATCTGTTGTAATAGTCTCCAATATGTTTCTCGCCTTGTGAATATCCTGACAAATGATTATTTTCAACACAATACTTATGCGGTATCACGTCGCCACTCCAGAGATCGTTTAAGGAGCTACGACACGATTAATCATACGATAAATCGTGACCCCTCCGTGTAAAATCTACAAGATTCTCAATTTTATGATAGCAATAAATTTTAATGCATTTTGATTATTATTTAATATTTCAAATGTAATTTAAGCAATAAATATTTTATAGAAATGTATTATGTACTAATTAACTTCGTCTATTAATAATATGTATTTTCTTTCTGATATGCATATTTAATTATAAATTATTCAACTCAAATTCAAGACGTACCATGTTTACGTATTAGTTTATCAATTAAAGCCTGATCAGTGATCTTTCTGATTGAAACCTTATATTACATTTCCAATACTTAAAACGAACGCCATATAAATTATATTATTTTGATCCATTAATTTCAATAAATATATATATTATTGCTGTATAAAACTATATAATATTAAATTCATCTGAAAATCAGATATTGTGATCTATATTTATAAAATTATATAAATAATAAGATCGCCTTGTTTGTATATCCTTATAAGTTATTTTTTTTTGTATTCATATGATACATACGTTATGCTTTATTATATTTTTTTATTAATTGGTTAAAGTAATCGCCTCTGTCAGTCAATTAGAGGCAAATCATAGATATTATAATACAGTCATATTACAAAACCATTTGTTTTACTTACTATAAGTTACTATTTACTTTCTTAGCTTATATCATACAAAAGTTTTTATGTATAATTTTGTACCATCAAACCTACGTTTGAAAACCTGTAGTTATAAAATCATGACTACTTAGTGGTTCAATTAAAGCAGAAACAAAAGTTTATTTCATTATTATCATTTGTGATAATCTCAACTGTTGTTTTCCAAATAGTAATTAGCCCCGTTTGTAAGCTAACAGTAACTTGAGACCTGCGCCAATGATCGCCACGATTCTGATAGACGGAGAGTGATTTTCAGACATTTATCAACATTATGTATATTAAGTACATATATATTTATACAGGGTGACTGGTGAATTACTATCAATATTTAAGGAGAATACTCGGTACATGATTCTCATTCGAATTATGTAAAAAAATAGGTACTTAATTTTTGACCAAATTTCCGTATAAATAAATAAACTGTGGACACGTTCCAAGTGTTCCAAGTGTGGACGCGTGCGGCGGCGTGCTGATACAACACACGCCGCCGCACGCGTGTGTGTGTGTGTGTGTGTATACCTAATCTGTAGGGTGTTCACACGATGCGTAATTAATTACATAACTTTTGGTTAACTTTACTTAGAAGTTTATTAATATTTATGTTATATTAATTTTTATTCTGTCATATATGATCGTCAAATATCACGTCCTCAAGTATCGATAGTAATTCACCAGTCACCCTGTATATGTTATTATACTAGAAGATTCACCTTCGCATTTTTTCTTACTTCGCTTAGATTCATAGAAAAAAGCACTAACCGCGAGTTTCAGAAGTGTTTCGCATCCGAACCATTTTTTTGGACATGGGTTCAGTTTTGTAGACCTAAAACACTAATTGGTGGCCCGGTCTAAATTTTATTCTGATAAAATGAACCATAGATTAATGGGCTATAGAAAAAAAGAGCATCGAATCGATTGTACATTATGTTGCTGAGATCATCTCTCTAGACTCCCGACGTTTCTCGTTTATGTTAACTCGAGTATGTAGTTTTAAAATAATAAAATAAGTGTAGTAATTCGAATAATATTAGTTCAATTCAAGTTCATTTAAATCTTAAAATTATTTGCAACTAATTTGCTTTAACATATATGTATGATTCATTTCCTATGTATTTTATTCCTATGTTTTATGGCCTTTTCTTCGGATCTTTATAGTAATATTGTCGTTACTGTAAGTTCAGTCCATTTAACAAATAGTCCAGTCAAGTTAACAGTATCGGTGGAATCTTCGGTCTAGATCAGCGCCGGCTTGATAAACGTCTCTGAAATAAGATTTCGCGAGTTCATTCAACTTTAGATACACGATTATATTTTAGACGTTACGCTTCTAAGAATAAGATTTAACTTCATTGGAATTCAAAGGTATTTTAGTCGTAGGTTTGTAGATTCTTTTCAAATTTGGTTAGGTAGAGAGATGAGCTTGGACAGTGGAGGTGAGCATTTAACGCGTATTTGATAGGGGTCCTTAAACCTACACCTGGGTCACAAGTCACAGTCACTGTTAAAGCTTCTCTCACTACAACGATGGACTCGACACACGCATATGAATACATTGAATGCTAAGAGGTATCTTCTCTTTATATGACTTAAGAATTTATTATAAAAGAAATTATAAAGCTAATCATAATAATTAAAACAAACGGAAACATTCCACGTTGCTCAACACACATTATTTCATTGAGTTAACACCGCGCGGGTGTTTCACAATAGTTTGATGAATCTATTAACACGTGCCTACAACATGAAAATACAAGTCTACAAGAGAAAATACTTTCGAAATGTTTACTATACAAGTCTTACAACTACAAAATATGATGTAATTGTGCTTTATTATTTATATCACTAACAATTTATAAATTTTCTAAGTAATTTTTCTTGTTTGTATTGGTTCAGAAGTAACTGAGATTACTCGGAACGAAAGAAACAGACTGAGAAAAATACATACAGTGCATGCATTTACATTGAA